AACAAACAAACAAAAACCCACATTGTTCTGGAGGGCAAAGAACGTGCTAACATCTGCTTGGCTTGGGTGAGGACCTCATAGGTGATAGCGTATAGGGGGAAGGAGAGGTCATAAGGCAAGAGAAGGAAGCAGGAGAGCAGGGATGGACCAGGCCTGTTCACAGAAATGAATCACTCCTATAAAGCCCAACCTGCTCTCGGAGACTGGCATTAATAATCCCTTTTGGAAGCCTATTGTGACCCATTCACCTCCCAGAGGTTTCATCTCTTAAAGGACCCACCACCTTACAGTATAGTTAGAGTAGAGACCAAACTTCCACCATGAACCAGAGAAATCTTTCTTTGTTTGTTGGTTTTCTCGTTATTAGTTACTATACAATCCTAGGATTATGACATGCATCCTTAACATCCTAGTGTCTCTGTCTGTCTGTCTCTGGTTTTGCAGTGCTGAGATCTAACGCAAGACATTGTGCATGCAAGGTCAGTGCTTTACCACTGAGCTATATCCCCATCCCCTAGTCTAGTTTGAATTAGTATTATATTATTTCATGTTCAGTGTTAAGAATTTTACTAATGTGATCTATAAATACAATTTCGTTACTTTCTTCTTGCTTTGTATTATTTATTGCCTTTGTTTTGTTTTTTATTTTTGAGAAAGGTCTTGTATAGCCCAGATTAATAGAAAGGTCTTGTAGAGCGCAGATTGGTGTCCAGCTTGCTATACATTTGAGGATAAACTTGAGCTCTACCCTCCTACCTCCACCCTGAGTACTTGAATTATAGGCATATGCCACCATGCCAAGCTCACATTTGCTGCTTCTGCATCTCTACTTTCCATTGCTGTTATTATTAGGCCACTCAGTAGATTGGGTCTTTTCTGTTGTTCTTGTTTTGATGATGGGGATACAGCCCAGGGCCTCTTGTGTATAAGGCAAGTACTCTCTTACTAAGTCATGCCTGCAGCCCAGGTCAGTGGTCCTTTAAAGAAAACTTCAAGCTGTTCTGTTAACAGTGTATTACCATCTTACCCTCTCTAGCACTTTTCATCTCTTCTCAAGATCTGGATCTAGCCTAGAAACATTTACTGTGATTTTAGTCTTGATTGGACTAAAAACGACCTACATTAATTAGTCAAGTACACCTCTGGAGGTATCAGTCTTTCCAGAGACAAGTTATTGTGGTTTTTTCTCTGACCGCTTTTCTTTTTTTTCAGCAATTGACTGGTGTGTCTAAGTAGAATCTTCTATGTGTTTGTTCAACTTAAAGTTCAGAATTTCTTGGAGTTGTGAGTTTATATTTTAGATTTGGGGGAAATTTCAGCCATATTTCTTCATAAAAATTTCCTACTTATTCAGTTTCCTCCTTCTAAGATACCAATTCCAATTGTGAATATTTCAGACGTCTGTTTTTATTTCATAAGTCTGATGCTCTGTTCACTTGTTTATTTTTTAAGTTAATTTATTTTATGTGAATGGGTGTTTTGCTTGCATGTGTTTGTATACAACATACATGAAATGCCCTCAGAGGCCAGAAGAGGGCATCCGACCCTTGGGAACTGGAGTTCAGATGGTAGTTAGCTACCACATGAGTGCTGGGAACTGAACCTGCATCCTCTACAAGAACAGCTATTAACCACTGAGCCATCTCTCCAGCTTCCTTCACTTATTTTTTAAAATATTTATTTTCGTTTATGTATGTGTGTTTCTGTGTGCATGCCATATGTATATGGGTGCTTGTGGAGACCAGAAAAGAGTGGTCAGATCCCCTGGAGATGGAGGTAAAGATGGCTGGGAGCAGTGTGGGCGCTGGAAACTAAACTTGGATTAGCAGCAAGTACTTTAACTGCTGAGTATATCTTTTTTTTTTTTTTTCCAATGTTAGGCAAGTACTTTGCCATTACATTACACCTTCAGCTCATAGTTATGTTCACTGATTTTTACTTTTTTCATCTATCTATCTATCTATCTATCTATCTATCTATCTATCTATCTATCTATCTATCTATCTATCTGTCGTGTGTTGTGTGCATGTGTATGCCATGGTTCTCAAGTGGAAGTCAGGATAACTTGTAGAGTTGATTCTCTCCTTCCACTGTGTGTTCTGGGGATTGAACTCACATCAGGTGTGGCTGGAAGCATCTTTACTGACTGAGCCATCTTGCCAGTCCCACCGATCATTGCTTAATATTAAATCCTATGTGATGTTAAGCAACATTTTTTTTAACTTTAGATAACTGTATTTTTCAATTCCTGAATTTTTGTGTTGTTCCTTTTGAGTTTTCATTTGTCTTGTAAAAGTCATTTTTTAATCCATTTTCTCCATGTCTTTCTAAATTATTTAGCAGATTTATAGTTACTTTTGTATCGTCTGATATAAATTAGCACACGGGTAGCTCCAGGATCTGAGTCATCTGTTGAGCTGTTTCTAATCTTATTTGATGTAGTGTCTCAACAGAAGATAGAGTAAGTAGATAAGTCCCCCCCTGGAGAGTTCACATCTTTTCCTTTGTCTGGGAGCTGGGCTCAGAGACAAAATCAGTTCTTCTGCTGGGTTAGACCACATTGCAATTTTAAATGTTCAGTTAACTTCTGGTTTCAAATAACTAAGTAGTAAGCTTAATTTCTCCCTCACTGGGTTTGTCTCTTAAGTACCCCAAACCAAAGAAGCCTTTCTTTGCTTTTCAGCTAGCACCAGCTTCCTGTGAAGCTTCACGGGGGCTTGTTTCTTTGATCTCATCTCAGGTGACATGCGTGGGGGCTGTGCTGCAGCTGTACCTTATTGTACTTAACAGTGCTGCATGTGACAGTGATAAATTCACAGACATAAGGACAGAAAGACGCCAGATACCAATAAGCCTGCACAAGATTCCATGTACATGAAATGTAGACAATTGATTGACAGTATTAGAAATAGAACCACTGTTCCTAGTGGGGAGGAAGGAGAGGTAGACTCAGGAAGGGATGAGGAAGACTTCTCACAAGCTCTAGTATTTCCTTACCCTGATGTGTTGGCTTTGTAAAGCTTTATTGAATACATGTTTGTGATTTGGTCCCTTTTTTGTGTGCATGTTATAGTTGGGTAGGCAACTCTTGCATCCACACCAAAGCCCAAGCCATAAACCAAGCATGGCGAAGCACATCTATAGTCCTAGCAGTCAGGAGGTTGAGGCAGGAGGATTAGAGTTTGAGCTAATAGTGAGAACCTGCTTCAAAAACAAATTTAAAAAGAAAAATCAAGCATGGATTGGGAGAAGACATTTATAAAGACACATGTAACAGGCTTTGTATCTAGAATGTGATTTAAGTTTTTTTTCTTGTGTGTGCCTGCAGGTGCGTGCACACAAAAAGTCAGAAAAAGGGATTAGATTCCCAGGAGCTGCCCCATGTGAGTGCTAGGAACTGAACTCTGATCCCTAGAGCCCTTGGGGAAAAGCCGGATATGGTGGCATGGGCTGTTCAGCTGAGCACTGGGGGAGTGCCAGTGAGAGCCCCTCAGAGGAGGTCAAGGGGATTCCTGTGCTCGTCTTCTGGTACTCCCACTCACATACACACAGCTGTCTGGTTACTTCCTATCTATCTGCATCCCCATCTGAACAGGTTGGTGAAGCAGAGGGTAAGATCTGAGAGGATCTGTAGCCTCCATAGTGGAGCTCAACAAGGTTTCTTCAGCAGAGATGGGTTAAGTCTCTGACCAGGTGACTAGTTCAGAATTTTAAAATAAGCTTATCACTTTCCTTATTTCATGTTCCTATTCAGAAAATGATAGCCGCTGTTGTTATGGGTCCCTGTAGTTTTAGCGATTGGAGAGACTGAGGGGGGGACCACATGAGCCTGGGGGTTCGTGAGGGC